AGAACTCGGTGTGGTTACGAAGCGAATCTATCTCAATGAGACATCTTAATAAGAGATACCTCGTTAAGGTACCTTAACAAGATATATCTTATTACGGTACCTTAACGAGACACGTTCTAATAAGACATAGAACGAAACGTTCCCATCACGTATGTACGTGTGTGCTCGCCAAGTTTCTCACGAAACGACTAATCCGACGTCAGAATCCTACGAGTGAGAATATCAACGTAACACCAAAGGAAAGATCGCAATGTTTCTCCATACACTCCCCGGTCGTTTCAAAGGGGAACGAAACTGTTTCCTCGCAACTACCTACGAAATAACACTTTCGTAGACCCGTACGAAACTCGAATCTCCATACGATAAATTTCCGAAAAGGGTCAAAAACGTTCGATCGTTATTTAGAACAACAAGCTTCTCTTTTGTGTGTGGAACGACCCACGTGGACGTGTGTACAACGGATGAAAACGAATGAACGAACGGGAGGGGTGGCCCCGTAGAAAATGAGATCGAGGGATTCGAACGAAGCCCGACGATTCACGCACCGGCCGCAAAAAAACTATCCTTTGCATTTCTCGCCCGCGATTCCATTCAGACACGGACAAACGTTCCGATTTCGTTCGCACCGGCTTGTCCAAGAAGATTGGATCGCATTGAAGCCGGGGACCTTGGAATTGAAAGGACGTCCCGGCCCTTCCTGGCGCGATGAAGAACTGACTGCAGAGGGGTATATATACAGGGTGTTTCGTAACCTGTGGGAGTTGATTGTACGCCTAAAAAATAATGAAAAAAAGTCATATAAATACATGTTTTATCTGTCTTCGTTTATCAGATGTAACGAATTTTCTGTTTTAATTACTATTACAAAAGATGCTCGAGATCATCACCTTGCATTTGAAGACAAGCCTGCACGCGTTTTGTCATTCATCTGGTTACTCTCTCTATCATTCCTGGTGTTTCTCGAATTTGTCAGAAGCCTTGCTCTATTCTATTTCGCAGTATTTCAGCATGTTCAATCGATGTTGCGTATACAATAGATTTTAAATATCTCCACAAATGAAAATCTAATGGATTCAAATCCGGAGAACGAGCAGGCCATGCGACAGGACCTCTACGACCAATCCATTTATTTGCAAAGTGTTGATTTAAAAATTGCCTAGCTACTCGGCTAAAATGCGGCGGAGCTCCATCATGCATAAACCGCATACGAATAATCTAATATCGACTGGAACTTCCTCTAATATTTCGTGTAAATGAAAAATCAACGTACTTTGTGCCTGTTAGTTTCCCATCAAGAAAAAAAGGTCCAATTAAAAATTTATCAATTATTCCTGCCCATACGTTTAAACTAAACTGGTGTTGATGTCTTGAATGCACAGTAACATGTGGGTTTCCTTCATCCCAATTATGATTATTATGAAAATATTGAACATATACCATCCCTGGTAAAACTAGCTTACTAGAGTTTGCTCTGTTTATAAAATTCATTATATCACGTAAACGAAGACAGATAGGACATATATTTATACGACTTTTTTTTATTATTTTTAGGGGTACGATCAGCTGCCGAATTGGGTCTTTCCACCAGTTACGAAACACCCTGTATATAAAACGGTGTACCGAATCACTTACCTGGTATTGGATTGCCACCGCGGTCCCTTTCCGGTCATTCCGGCCGGGCAAACGCTACGAAAGACGAAGCCGGATAAATTATTGACCATCCACCCCCTCGAATCACTCCTCGTTTTCACGGCTTGAATACAGAACGCTGGAACGGTGGAATTTCATCGAGCCAACCAGCCGAAACAGGCCGTGTGTCGCTCACCCCGTTAAATATACTCCTTTCTCTCTCCTATCGCGATCAATCGAGAGTAGTAGAGATGGGATCGAGTACCTCGTAAGCAAGCACGAACTAGAGCTGTTGCTTATGAACAGAGTGCGGATTTTTATTGCACGTAAAATGTGCAACTAATGAAGTTACAATTTATATTGCAATACGGAAAATATGAATTATCGTTTTGTTTTGATTGAGTAAAGTAAACAAAAATTACCCGAGTGCGTGAGACAATTGAGACTACGTATCTTTTATTTTTAAGCATTTTACTCGGATGTCTATGCAATAAATAACAAAACAACATAAACGTTTTTGTATAAAGAAAATGTCTTTAATTTAATAAGTTTATATTATAAAGGTGTCTTTTGTATAAAAATTAATAAGTCTAATTAATTTTCCAGTAGTAGGGCTCGTGCAACTTAAAAATAAGGAAAATACTCTTCCTCAGCTAGATGTTAAACATAAATATCATTTAGCAAGTTTTTACTGATCTTTGCTATTTTCTTTCCCCGAATTCTCTACCATTCCAGTGGATATAAATTACAATTTCATTTTATTTGAACATGAATTACTCGAAACATCGGATAAAATTATATTCGATATTCGTCGGGTAATAATTCTGATCTCAATTATCTTTGAATATTCAGAGAGTGTTAGGAGAATATTAGGATTTCTTTTCGTGCTATCTATCATCGAAGTTACGAACCCTTTTTTTTCTATTTGTCCTGTATATTACAGGTATTCGTTGAAACACTTACTTTCGAAACGATAGTTACGTTAGACATTAAACTTAAATCGGACTCCTAAGTGTTATACATATTCGGATCCCTAATCGCATCCCTAAAGAGGGTCGTTCGAAATGGCAACGCTGTGAATCCCCCGCCACGTGTATAATAGATCCAACGGGGACGTTGATCGACGACGTCTGTTGTTTCGTGATTTTTGCTACTTGGCTCCGGGCGTCGCGTGAAAAAGTTCCGAATGATCAATAGCTGAAAAAAACGCGACGCAAACGATCAATGCGGCGGCGTGTGTACCGTCGACGGCCCCCGTCGAATATCATATTCCATTGACACTCTCCCGTCGTCGTTCTGTTTCGAGCCTTTCAATTCAGAGAGTCTCGCGAATCGAATTTGTAACGTTTCACTGTCGCGTTTCAATAACCGTATCTCTTCATCTTTCCTCTTGCCGCGATTTTTCGAATCTCTTTGTTGCAGGTACGAGGCTCCTCGTCGAGGAGTTAACCGGCTCGGATGGCGAACGGGGCGGATAAAGGACCAACGCGAGAGCAGACAGTGAAATAAAATCAGCTCGCGAGAGTCTGGCAGTCAGGTCGGGGAGAGAATCAACTCGTCAGCAGAGTATTAATTTCACTCAGGTCTGGTTCGATTTTCAATCATAAGTGAAAACGATGCTCGCCGTGTCGCGTAAAAATATATTCAACCCTCCGGATGCTTTGCGCTCTCCGATGAAATTGAATTTCACTCGGCTCGTTCTTCGTCCTAATTAACGAGCTTGTTTCTTTTTTTTTTTTTTTTTTTTCACGGTTTTACGAATCCTTCTGTTTCACGGATATCGTTGCAGACGAAAATCAATTAATTTCAACGATAATCGCTCGCTGCGCCATATTTTCGTCATCAACTCGAGAAATGTAGCCAAACATAAACATTATTTTGTTGCTCTCTAACTAAAATGTAAGACGACGAAACTAACGCGAAAAACATCAATTGCAGCGAGTTAATTTTTTAGTTAAAGGTACACGAGTCGAAACTGCGTTTTTGACCAGAATTTATTATTTTCGTCTCTCTTTCCCCCCACCCTTCCCTCTTTCCCTTGTGTGCTCTATCGCATCGGTGAAACGATGTCAGAGAAATAACAAGGTTAATAGTGGACAGAACGAAGTATCGAACGGGGGATAATGGCGGGGTTATTTGTGCTAGGCACGATCCGAACGGTTTCATCCAGGTTAGATTCCGAACGGTACCTGGGGGCCTACGAAATTGTTCGTGGAAATTGCGTTATACATCGAACGCGGGCGAATCCGCTTCCCTGTGCCTGAAAATCCGCATTATCTGCATGTGATCGGCCGGTGACATTTCTGCACGAAAGCTCGCGTTGCTCCGCGAATGTATAACGAAGCCCACTTTAGCCCGCGCTTCGCGTTCCCCGAAAGCTCCCTGTTGTTACGCCGCGAACAGAAATTAAATGTAACGGCCAGCTAAATTAAAAGATACAAGTTTTAATCGCGTTGATAAACCTTGAACGTTAACGAGCGTATTCCGTGCGTCTCGAGTGAACGAGCCGCTATTATACTTTGATCGTTCTCGGCGAAAACTTAACCAGTGTACAAATTTCCACGCGTCTGAAATTGCGTTGTCGAGATCTCTGTTTGAATGAGATTACAGGCGAGCTTTTGCTTATAAAAACTTGAACGTTAACGATTGTATAAATTACGGTAGAACGTCGATTATTCGAGCTAATTGCGAGACAAATCTGTTCGAATGAGCGATTTTTCGGATAGAAGAATCAAATAATAATAGAAGATAATAATAATAATAATAATAATAATAATAATAGAAGAATCAAATGATCATAGATCATGGAATAAAATCATAGATCAGAATACATAATCACGTGAAAGAATACATAATAAGTCTAATAATCAGCCGGTGCTATAAAATCTTTATTATGTCTTCGCAATTCAAGAGCTTTCTCCTGAATTCAAGATCCATTTGTACGTTGACAGTTCGATCCAACTATCACCTATTTTTAAGCTTCTACGCAGATGAAAATTTCTCTTATTGTCCGAGTTGTTTTGAATTTAGACTAATAACATTGATTTACTATTTTCAATGTATAAAATATAAACATAGCCCGATATATAGTTTAAATGCGCACGAATATTTCGACATAATCGACATTCTATACCGTGTCCAGATTTTCGAATTACCAAAGTTCTTGCCACTAAAATTTAAGACAGCGACGAGAGTTCACTGAATTAACCCGGCGAACAAAGACAGTTCGTTATTTGCGCGACGGACCAAATTTCTAGGAGATACAGTTCCTTTTGCGCGGAACAATCGGATCTCTGGCACGCGGCGAATCGTTTCGGCTGCCTTTGTGCGGACTGCGAGGCTATCGAACGTTGACTTGTCGCTTCACTTACCAAATATAGGGTTCCCACGGTGCGTTGCCAGACCACCGAGCGTGAGCACGTGCGAGTGATCCGCCGTCACGACGAGAAGCGTCTCTGACAAGTCCACTTCCTTCATCACCGCCCTCACCGCTTCCTCCAGCGCCAGCGTTTCGTCCAACGCTCGATAAGCATTGTTGTAGTGATGAGCGTGATCGATTCTGCCACCTGGGGACAAGCAAATAGACCTTTCGCGTTTGAGTCGGAGGTTCTGCGCGACGAATTCAGCGGAGCGAGCAATCACAACGCTAGAATTCAAGCGGATAATTGGGCAGCCTCAGTGTGATACGAGATCGACGAAATGAAGTCGTCGCCATTGAAGACGCGTCCAAAGCGAAATTTTCGTTCGATTCGCGAGTAAAAGTCGTTTGATGAATTTCGGCGTTCGATGGATTTTGTTAGTTTGTTTGCACAAGGTGCAGCTTGTTTCCCTGAACGTAAATATCAATTAACATGGCAATCTGATTGCATAGAAAGTTCCAGGTTGAAGGAACGTTCAACCGCACACCGTGAAACGGCCTTCGATAAAGCCTGGCCGGCCGAACAACTTCTCCGTTCTCGGTCGAGAGTCAATCGAGAATCAACTTTGCGTGTACTTTGAAAAAACCCTCGTAACTTTAAAACCAATATTGTCACGTCGCAGAAAGAAGCTACGCTGTAATCCTATCAACGACTTTAATATTTTTTAAGTATACCTTTCAACGAACTTCTTAACTTTCTATAAAGGCAACAGGGTATTGCGACGAGAGAGACCTGATGTTAAGCGTTTCGCGAGGTGAACGAGATTCGCAGATTTCACCAAAAAAAAAAAAAAAAAAGAAAAATAAAGGGAATGGAAGAATCGATCTTTTGGTCGTGCAATTGGAAAATATATTCCTTTGAAGAGATACACGTCCACTTTCGCGGTCAATTAGGTGACTGTACATGTAAGTACGTGTCGGAAAAGGAATTTTTCGAGAAAGTCGAGTTTGAAAATTTATCGAGTATACACGAATCTAGCTAATAAATGACAGACGGAAATAATTGACGATTGAGTTAGTCTACGTTTGAAAATAAATAAAAAAACGTAGAATAAAACTTTTCTGTTAAGATGCTTCGTTTTTTTTTTTTTTTTTTTTTTTTTTTTTTGGAGAGAATTGAGTTTGAATGTTTCATCGACTATATTTGAATTTATTTCATTCTAGACGCGACAGAAAAGAATAATTGACAGAAGGTTAATCTACGTTTGAAAATGACGAATAAAACTTTTCTGTAAGCTCTGTTTTAAAAGAAAATCGAGTTTAAAAATTATATGTGATATTTAAAATTATATATAAATTATATATTATCATTCATCACATTAATAATTTATCATATTTTAAAATAATTTTGAACGAAACACATTCAAATTTTCTTAAATGAAAAATTTTTTACTTATTTTTGCGCCATTATTCGCGCCTGTCCAGCACGAAATTAGCCAAATTCAGGCATAGTTGATAAAACGAAATTTCTTTAATAAAATTCAATTGTATTTTTTCTTTTCGACACGTTTTTACATTAGTCGCGAGACAATTTTTTGTACACGTACTACAAAAAATGTAATTCACTTATCTCCTGTTACGAAAATATTCTCCAATGTGACTAATAATTTGCAGTGTCTCAAATTTTCTTTCTATCAGCGTGAAAGAATGGGAAAAAGAACGAGAAAGACTACGGGGAGGTCGGGATGGAATTAGGGATCCGACCCGCGGTGAAATGAGAGTCATCAGCATTAACGTCGAACAATCGCATTTGCGAAAGCATCGTAGAGTTAACGCTAATTATTCAGAACGATCCGCAAGAATCCCGAATTCAATTATCGAGCGGGCAAACGGCGCCGCCCGCCTCTGGAACGGATTACCGAAAGTTCAACTTGAAGTTGCAGCGGTGCAGAAACAATCGAAAATGGCCGGGATCGATGTCTGCTGAAGATCGCGTGCGTGCGTGCGCAAAGCGTCAAGGAGAGGATCAATTCTCGAGAAATTGCATGGAATCGAGTTCGGCAGCAGTTATGGATCGAAGCGATCGAGGATGAAACGAGACATCCTGGCACGATGTTAGGGTGCCACGTTAAAAGGTCCGATGATACTACCGTAGGTATCGCTCGAGATTCGACCAGACGGCGCCGGCGGCTAACTGCGGCGATCCGATTTTACTGGCGAGCATTAACTCAGTCCCGACCGCGTCGCGCCGAACTTGTGAATGAACACGCTGCCCCGTATTTACGATAACGGATGAAGATCGAACGAGGTTAGGGTGAAAAATCGTGTGAATGACACCGGCGAGAATCAATCGGCCGTGTTGCGCTTCCTGTCAGGAATTTGCGTAAGCCGTGCCCAGTCGATCGATCGAAAGAACGGAAATATGATACGGGGATCAATTTTTTTTTTTTTGTATGTCGAGTACTCGTGGCTCGAGTTTCACTTGCTTGGTATACAGTAATGAGATTTAACTTTAACAGAAGTATAGAAGCCTTGTCTAATCGCGTTGTGATGAATTTCACTTGATTAACAGAGCTACTTTATTCGACGTCGGAGATTCTACTTTGTGTCTCGCTTGAAACTGGAATTCTGGAATTTTATTTTGTGACTCAGTTGAAACTGGAATTCTGGAATTTTATTTTGTGACACAGTTGAAACTAAAATTCTGAAATTCTATTTTGTAGCTTACTTGAAACTGGAATTCTGAAATTCTATTTTGTGACTCACTTGAAACCGAAATTCTGAGATTCTACTTTGTAATTCACTTGAAACTGGAATTCTGAAATTCTATTTTGTGACTCACTTGCAACTGGAGTTCTGAAATTCCATTTTATGACTCATTTGAAACTGAAATTTTGAAATTCTCCTTTGTGACTCACTTGAAATTGGAATTCTGAAATTTTATTTTGTGACTCACTTGAAACTGAGAAATTCTGAGATTCTATTTTATAGCTTACTTGAAATTCTGAGATTCCGCTTTGTGATTCACTTGAAACTGGAATTCTGAAATTTTATTTTGTGACTCACTTGAAACTGAAATTCTGAAATTCTATTTTGTGACTCACTTGAAACCAAAACTCTGAGATTCTACTTTGTGGCTCACTTGAAACTGGAATTTTATAATTCTATTTTGTAACTCACTTGAAACCGAAACTCTGAAATTTCATTTTGTGACTCACTTGATAAAAGAAAAAAACATTTCGAACGAACTTCGAATTAAAGGGCAATTCTATCTTTGTGTTTAAATTTTTGCTATTTATATACATATCTGCAGCCACGTCATGTCAGACGTATTCGCGTCAAATTTCATCGGGCACACTTCAGTAACTGTGACGTTATTACAGTTGCGCATTGTTATCGGAATTGTATCAAATTCGTCAATCGATGCGTTATAATAGAATCAGAGAATTTCAATATGATTATGCACCCTGCCTCGTTCCGTTGCGTTGTGTGCGCGAGTGTGACTCAGCTTCTCACCACGTTAATAGAAATGACTGCAGGATCAGAATTAATGACGAATATACATAATTACTCGACGTTCCAAATTATTCATTTAATAACTATCCATTACATCTTCGTACTTTTCTCTTCGTAGTCTATTTGTTGAAAGTTGAAACTCGACTTTGACTAAACTTTGCTGCGTTATATCAATGAATAATAATACTACCGATGTGACAAATAGAATGACATTACTCCATTGTGAAGTAGTTTTTCCCCTCTGTAGAGTACGCGGAACCTTGTTCCCATAAATCATCAGTCGCAATAAAAACACGAACACGGTCATGTCTGCGAGTAACGCAACGATATTTCTGTCCGGGCATTTTAACAAATATCTAATCGATCTCGGTGTTTCAACGTTTGCATGTGGCCCACTGTGCATCAAAGATCGCGCGACGCATCAACCGAATCGCCCCTTGAAAACTCTCGTTCGTCGACGAAAACGAGACGAGATTGTCCCTTGCGAGATGTCGCGCGCAAATAGTCTAACAAATTTCGCAAAGTTGTGGACTTTACTCTCGTTTCTGCTCCCGATGGGTACACGTATTCGAGAGCATGAAATTTATGCATTACAATGTGTGTGCCGCTAGCACGCACGTCGGCGGATGATGAATTTGTATAATGAACAGTATGTGGTCTGTGCGAACGTTCCTCGTCGCTGTCAACCAAAGGGCAGTTCAGTGCGAAACGCCCACACGGGCGACGGGATAAATTTGGTTTGAATCGGGAGAAAAAAAAAAAAAAAAAAAAAAGATTAATGGACTGATTCGGAGGAAACTGATTCCGAAAATATTAACGCGTTACGATCCTTCTGGAAGCCAGTATTAATATCCGACAGCGTCAACAAATATTTATTTCCAGAGATTACAAAACGCGAAAGAGCATTTCTGTTAGTTTTTTTTTTTTTTTCACTCGCACCGCGCACATATTCGTCCCGGAATGAATTTCGTTTCATCGGTTACACAGAGCACGGGACACACGAGCGATGAAAAGTATAGCAAGTTTTGAACACGGGAATAATGAAATTAAATGATATCGTGCAGCGATCTGGCCGAAAAAGGGGAGGGGGAACCTGTTCCCACAATAAACGGAAAAATGAAAATCCGCGAGCGCAACGTAGAAAAATTATACGCAAGTATTTTTTATTAACCTCGGCATTACATGTATAGCGCGCGATTCTGTCGCACGGTGGAGGAAATTCGTTGTTGCAATAAACCGGAAAAATGAAAATCTGCGTTGCAACGAGGCATACTCGCGCGACCTATTTTTTATTAACTTCACGTATCTGTCTCGTTTTATACAATCCACTTTGTACACGAAAGCTTTCCAGTTATTTTCATAAACTTTTCTACGGGATGAATTTTTTAATACTCTCCTTTTCGACGTCACCGGTCCAATTTTTGGTTGGAAAGATAGATAGAAGTTTCATCGTGGACCAAATAAAAAAAAAAAAATACTGCTATTACCATTGAATCGTACGATAAAAATTTCATTGCGAAACAAAATGAAAAAGCTGAAACCACTTTTATATAGAAACAGGCCGATTCACGAAACTTGCACGCCTGAAATAATTTTTAAATTATGCGTCGAATGAGAAATTGTCTGATACAAAAGTATGGGAAGCAAAGTATGGAGTATCAATTTTTTGTGAATTTCAAAATTTCCAACGCT